AATAGATTACTAAAAAGACGGGTTTTTGTTATTTTCAGATACAAAGATTTCCGAAATCCTCCTTGGGAGGATCCAGAATACAGAAGATCCACAGCTTTCTGGCATGTTTTAGCAGCAAGATTGGCCTTTGTAGTGGTCTTTGAGGTAATCATCAGCATATCTCTGAAAATAAATTCTGGGGGGTTTACCAACTTAACACCTCATCCCCAAAGCAAATAATTTTTTTTTTACTAGATGTATAATTATCATTTAAATATATATTTGTTTTTTGTAGTAAATTATACCACTTTCAAATAATTATATTATTTTAAGGTAATTGTAGCATCCTTTCATTTGCATATATCTTTTTAATCATTAATTTACTTAGTTATTATGCTGGTACTGTGTGGTTGTCATGTTGCAATGATTCTACATCAAGATGTAGTGACTTTAACACTCAAGTGTGATGTGGTTGCTTGTCACAGTAGCTTGTAACAAGTGTCTAATAGCTAGTAGCAAATAGTGTTTGATTTTTTATTTCATCTACTCTAAATAAAATAAAATCTTTAGAACTCAAATCCTTTTTTTAAACCCCTCCATTTAAATAATCAATAATTGAAAACTTTGATTGCATTGGTTGAAACTCAGGAACATAAAATTAGGAAGTCAATTTATCATATAAATATAAAGAAAAAATTAATTAACTAAATAAAAGCTTTCAAGTTTTTAAAAAAATTCTTTGACTGTTGTTTGATTTCCCAGAATGTTGTGGTTGTCATCACAAGTCTAATATCCTGGCTGATCCCTGATGTACCCACAATATTGAAGGAACAGATTCATAGAGAGGCTTATATCACCAATGAGATTGTTCTCAAAACTGAACTGAGGAGAGCCCAAGGTGAGGATTTAAACAGCTTAGGTGGAGCCCATCTTTCTAATGATGAGAATCTCAGATACTCCCCTCATCATAGTGAGGACATTGAGCTGAAGCAAAGAAGTCCTTCAACTGGCAAAAGTAAAAGTGGTTCTCAGATATATATATAGATCAGTGGCGTCATTAGGGTCTGTAACACCCAGTGCGGAAAGCCCAGGGTGTCACACACAAACACAAATTCCCTCCCAACTTTTTTTTTGTTGAACCATAATACTCATGATCTAATTGATTGATTTTTACACTGGAAAATGATTGTCAGAACTGTTTTAAAATGTCATTGTTTATAACATTTATCAATAGTTGTTATATAGATGAATAAAAATGCAACAGTACTGAAATTAGAAACATTGAGTTGAACAAGTTTTCTTAATAAAAATTTGATAAAGACCTCCTCACAGAAATGTTTTTACGTCATACTAGTGTTTCTCAACTGCTAAAGCAGATCATTTACAGAACAGATTTTCTTCTCGTGAACCGTCATCGAGCAAAGCATGGAATACCAACAATGGCTGTTGATTTGTTTTGGATTTAAAAAGCTTTTGATAGCTTCTATCAGGAATCACTCTGAAAAGCTCATCAACATCAAAATGTCTGTGAGACAGTGTATCTTATCCTAATTTCTCTTTCTTCTAGCCATTGACATAAAGCAAACCTGAATCAGGGTGCATTCTTTATCCCATGGCTTGAATCAAACAGACTGACAGACATGGTTTTTGCAGATGATATAGAGTTACTCAGGAATACACTTAAATGTATGCAAGAGCTTCAATACACACAAAGTTATGTTTACTGGCTGATCCTCATCCAGCATCCCCTCAACATTGGTCATACAGATCTTGAACAAATAGGTCACCTATTTAGGCTGCATTATCACAAGCTATGGAGATGCATATCACAATGTTGCATGTCTGATAGGTAAAGCAGGAGACGTCTTTCAAAAAGTACGTCCTATTTGAATAAATGAATCAATTAGCCTGAATACCAAGATCCACCTCCTCCACACCTTTTTAGAGAAGACCTAAAATCTGTGGACACCAGCTGGGAAAAGGCTGTGGATGTCACCTACCTCTGTAAAGAGAGCTTGTGTCCTATTTGTCTAATGGCACGTAAGGGCCTAAATCAAAGTGTTTTACAATTTTTTACAACCAGAAATGTTAAATTGCCACGTTGGTTAGATAAGAGGTCTGAGGGAGTGTTGTAAGTCCTCTTCCACCAGAGTTGTCCTGGGCGCTAAGCACTTAACTGCATTTTTTAGCTTCAAAAACTCTTTCTCCTGGCGCACAAAATTTCCTTTCTGGCAGACTCTTAAATAACGTTGGTGAAGATGCATTGAAAGGCAAATAATCAACTTTGTTGCTAACAAATTTCAAATAAATAAAAGTCATGATTAAAAGATGAAACAACGTCACTTCATTGAATTTTGTACACTTATTATAATTTCGTTTTTACTTGATTAACAGGCTACTTAAATATGGAGTAACTCCAATACATATACAGCCAATGTTTGTCGTTAGATAAGTCTTTGCCTTTGCCCCGTTTTTTTTTAATCAAATAACTTTTTATAAAATTGTGGGGAAAATAATAATATACACCCCCCCCCCCCCCCCCAATGACGCCACTGAAATAGATAATAATGATTCTTAAATATAGATATAGATCTAAATCAAGTGGTTTGCAAGTCCTATATATCAAATGGACTAAACTTGAGTCAGAGAAAGTTGCTGCTGACTTCATTTCTGTCATAATTTGTGACATCATGTGTTATGATATTTTTGGCTGTAATATGACTGTAATATTTCACCTTTTTTGCCACATATTTTTATATTGCTTATTTTGAAGTAGCACAAAAAAATTTATGATTTTATTTTGTAGAATTTTTTTAAAGTACATTTTAATTGTCAATTTTATTTTGTTAACAACGTAGATCTAAATAGAACAAACTTTTTTTGTTTATAAAATCAATACTGGTACATCTTTTTGCTAATATGCATGAAATAAATGCAATTATAAAGTTTCCACGGTAATTCTTAAGATCTGAAGCTTATGGTTTTCTGGGTATTTTCACTCTCCTTTGATGACAATGCCATTGTTTTAAATTTATTGGAAATTAAGGAATGTTAAAGCTTAGTGTTTCAATGTATTTTGTAACCAATATTTCCTACAGAAAGTTCTCAGTATTTCTACACAATGAGGAAACTCAATAAGCTCTATAAAATCATTTCATATTACGTTGTGGTAGTTCGTGTAACCAAATGATGCAAATCCCTCCACTTGTCCCTGTTAGCAGCTGTTCTTAGCAGAATATCAAGAGAGAAGTCTGTCCATTCATTTACATTGTCTTTGTCTTTGGACAACCCTGTCTTCATGTGCTTCCTTCTTACTATGTGACCAAGCCAGCTCAGCTTCGCAGTATTGAATAGTTTCTCCTTTATACATACTCATTTGTCTTCTTTTCCTTGTATCTTATACCCAGCATTTTTCTGTAGTATTTACTGTCAAATGCTAGAATTCTTCTTTCAGCCTCAGCATTCAGTGTTCTACAGAGACCAATAGTAAGGAATACAGTTTTAATTTTAATGGGAAGCTGATGTTACTCTTTCAAATTTAAAATTGTTCAGTGTGCTCATGGCAGTGAATGCCAGGACTAAAGGTTTTTTGATCTCATTCATTGATCCTCATTTCTATGTTTGACTCTAGATATTTAAATGAGTCAACTTTTTCTGTTTGGCCATTCAACTGTATGCAACATCTTGTACTATCTCCACCACAAACTAGTATTTTGCTTTTTTCTGCACTTATTTCCATGCCAGCTGCTGCAGAATCCAGTTTTGAAGTAAGATATTGTACCTGCATTTTCTCCAATATTATCTGAGATAGGAAATAGCCCTCCCATTTCTGGTCAAGCTCAGAGTAAATCCTTCTAGAGTTTCCATCATAATATGTTCCAGAAATATGTTAAAAAGAGCTGGAAAAAGAATGCATTCTTGCTGCACTTCTATGGATGTCCTAAAACTTTCTATGATTGGGTTGTTCAGAATTACCAGTACTGAGCTATTTGCACTTTGGTTTAAGGCTTTGATAACATCGATAATGTTTTTATCTAGGTTGAACTTTCTCATCACTTGCCACATGCCAGACCCAGTCAAAATCTTTTTTGAAGTCTATGAAGTTGTGTACCTGAGATGAACTCCAATTGATGGCAAGGCTGGAAGGATCAGTCCTCCCATAGAGCCTTGGCGAGAAACTCTGCTGTTAGGCGTAGTGCCTTTAAGCTCCCATACAGGTCAAGTCACTCTGCAGATAAACTACCCCGCAGCTCTCAGAGCTGCGGACACTCTTGCAAGAGACTGACTCTCCACAGTGTCTGCAACAGCATCAAAATTTGGCCAGAACCAAGCAAAATAAGCACTAACAGGGCAGTGCCCCGTTCTACACTGCGCAATCATAGATTGTTTTGACCTATTTAGCCTCCACCATGGATCATCGTGGTCCAGGCAACGCAAATGCTGCCAGACTCCACTGGCTTTGTTGGAGTCATCCCAGGATTTCAACCACTATTGGATTAATGTCGTAGCTTGGTTAAACATACTTGGGGCTTGGAAAGTGGGTAGGGCCAGCGCTCATCTCATGCTAGAGCATCAGCCGCCTCGTTACCCCCCCACACTGCACTGCATAAAGATAACTCCAATAAATAGGTGGATGTTATTTTTGGCGTCTAATGCCTCTCTGACCAAAGGTGACTTTCCCCCCAAGCCAACCATGGCTTGGAGGCAGGAGCTAGAATCGGTAACCATTACAACAGAAGTCGCAACAGTTTCTTTTTTACGTAATTTTTCCGCTATGTGGCGTAGTGCCTTGATAATCGCAGTGAGTTCAGCATCAAAGCTACTTGCAGCGAGGCTGCATGCGCCTGACAGGTTGTCTGGATCGAGGTCCGGGTAACATATAAGGGCCCCATACCCGGCTCTCGCGGGGTCCTTAATCACAGACCCATCTGTCTAACAGAAGATGGCATCTGATGGGTACGATTTAAGATTTTGTGTTGCCATCTTTTTGAGTATGTCAGGGTGTATGTGTCTTCTAGTGCCCCCCCCCCCCCCAGTCCCACTAGTGTGAAGTTTATAGGAGGGCTGGGAGTCCAGCTTGCACATTCAAATTTGATGCAATTGGGTGGGGAGCCCTGGAATGCCCCTTTCATAGTGGAAGTTGTGTAATAGCTTCTTTTGATGTTGAAGTAATTTTTCATTTAACAGTCTCTATCAAGTATTGGATAGGAAATATTTGAACTAATACTTGGAAGCTACAAGTTAGTGAGTCCACTATATGCTGAGTAGTGAATAGCTTCAAAGTATTTTGTATCTGAAAATTACTGATATTTTTGACAGCTTTTTTTTTTAAGTGCCTGCATTCTTCATAAAGAGAGGCAAATAACAAAATATAAATGAACTTATTTAATGTGATCATATGACAATTTTCATTTACCACATATACAAGACATTCAATCAACATAGTGAAACCTCTTTTTCTTGACTCCATATTTTTAATGAAGTCAAGAAAACCAGATATGTTTTTTGATGCAATCCTATTTCAATATAATGTGAAGAATTTGAAAGTATTTTAGTGCAACATGAGGTGATGGTAGTAAGAAGTAGGAATGGAACATAGTTTCTAGTTGGGTTTTTTTTTAGCCAGTTAGAGTGAACAGAATGTGGAGCAATTGAAAACATAATTTTATTTCTTCTTTCTAGCCATTTTATTTTGTCTTTAATACACACTTGACCTGAATTGTTTTGCAGTCTAGAAATATTTTCTTCTATGTGGAGCAAAACATTGTTTTATACAAGTAGAAATACAAATGGCAAAATTAAATTATGACCTTCTTAATAGGTCAAATATATTTAGGATAGAAATAAGCTTGTTCATCTCTTTCTCTTACTGGTGTTGACTTGTCAGAATTTTCAAGCAAGCTTCTACTGGCGCTGTCCATTTTCTTACTCAAGCTTTAGATTGTCTTAGTGCTGACTTGGTCATTTTTTTAATTTATTTTTTGTTATATTTTCTTTGTAACTGGTGCTGTGTCTTGATATCTTCTCATTCAACAGGAAGTTCTATTTTAAAGTACCTAACTGTTTGAAACAAAAAATGTTTAATTTTATCCTACAAATATTTTCTCTTTTATCAAGGTGATTTGAATTGTATATTGTGTTCTTCTACATACATTTGTTATTTATCAATGTTTACATACTGAGAGATTATAAATGAATAATAAGACATTTTAAACCATACATTTTTTACCAGGATAGATTATGTCTCTATCTTATCTGTTAATAAGTTTGAGCAATATTTTGATATTTATTTTTTATGGTAATTCTTTTTAAAACCACTTTTATGCACTTTTCAATTTTTTGATATCACACTTTTGTTTTCCTTATGTTTTACTTTTGGTGGAATCTCTTCCTATACCCAGTGCTCTAGCTCCTTGACATGTACTTTTATTGTCACAATGTCTCTCTAGTCCAATCGTGATACAAGTGTTTTATGTCATATGAGCAACTCCTGTCTCTTCTTTAGCTTAGAGGTTTCATTTAGTTGTCTATTGTATTTAGTTGTCTAGTGTATATTTTACCTTGGATAAATATTTTATTTGGAGAAGCTTTATGTTTAAAATGTCTATTTTCTCTGGTGCCTGGTCTATTTCCTTGGATTTTACATTCTCAGGCATGAAATGCTCAAAATTATATTTATACTATAAAAAACTAATGAAATAAAAAATTCAACTTCAAATTACTTTCATACAAACATGACGCTAAGTCTAACACTTGAAATATATAAATACTTTTGTTCTTAAAACATTCAGAGTATTTAAAGCATGTTATGACAAAAAAAAGTTAACTATATATTAACATCGTGTAGATCTAAATCTAACATTTAGGACATGTACCTAAAGTCAGTGCTTTGACAGCAGCATAAAAACAATGTTTTCATAAAGGAGTGTGTCTCTATGCCTAAGAATTGAAGTCCAAGGGGATCAAGTGTAAATGACCACATTAAAAAAAAAGTGTCTTAGTGAATTACTTTGTTATTCATTTTTACATCCATGGTGCTGATAGACGCCACTTGACCGCAATCTAAAAAATCAAACGCTATATATATATAATACATATATAATTCAATGATTAGCTACTAGCACAAAATACTCGAGAGTTCCTGACAAACATTTTTTTAGACAAACTTCTATTTGATATACAAGAACAAGGTGATTTGTAATTTATTATTTTTTTAGCTTGCAAATAAATGCTTACGTTCTTTTATTTCTCACCCCCCCCCCCTTTTTTTTTTCAACCCAAATTGACCTGGATCACAAAGTTACAAAGTAGATTGAAACAAAGAGTCAAAGAAAACATGTTGGGCTAGAATAGTTGTTTTGTTTTTTCCTTTTCAAATAATTGATTGTTTGTTAAAAAAAAAAAATTGAATATTTTTTTTAAAGATTTTTGCCAATTATATCTAGGGACAGTGTTATATGTAAGAACTCAGGGTCATCATGCTTCTATGTATATTTAAGATAATTTTATTGATTCAAACAAATGGAAATTCAGTTTGAATGCTATTATATATACTGTATAATTAATTTTAGACAGGCTAGTGAAGGACTGGATATTAACAAAAACTTGTATTAAAAAACATAACATTTTATTGAAAATAAAATTTTTATTGCTGTTTGCAATCATTTGCTGGTTGTTGTTTTTATTTGAAAGTATACATTTCCTGTCCTAAGAATTGGGCCAATGGACAGAAATAAAAGTTGCTTTAGACATGATCTTTCATGGGGACAAGAAATAAAAAAAGATACAAGTTTATGACCACAGCTGCAACTTTTGTGACAAGTTATGTTTAGTACAAACCACTTATGCTTCAACAGTACATTGTTTCCACAAGCAATTTCTCGACATCTACATAAGATAAAATCTTGTTTTTCTGCTCACATGTGTACACATACCAAGAATATTTTTAATTTCTACACTTTTGTAATGATTTTTTTTTTATTGGTTTTATGATTAAAGTTTGTAAAACAACCATTTCTTTTTATAAATACCATACTATGTTTCTCATTTGCAATACAATTGTATATTACCATTCTTTGTTTTATGTTCTGCTGAAAGACGTCATTTTATTTTGCTAAATATAAATAATGTTACAAAAGTCTTTTTGTTTTTTTAGTGTATTTCTTTTTGGCTTTGTAATCTTACCTACCAGTAACATATTGTATTTGATTCTATCTGTTCTGCTTTGTTTTGGATTAGTGTTTACCTCTATTAAAACAGTGTGCCTTTCAACTGAGTTTGTCATTCCTGTGTAATGCAGCCTGAAACTGAGATTATTGTATTGCCAGTAGGACAAGTTTTATAGAAAAAAAAAAACTAGAACTAATCTAAAAAAAAAGGTGTACGCCACAATCTACAGATCATTTTGAGCATAATAAAGAATATGGTCTACATAAAATCATCATTCCTTTCATAGATTATTATAACCACTTCATTCTAAAAACAAGACCTTGTGTTTACAAAATATGATAATAAATTTCTGAAATCTGATAAGTATTGCAGTGTCATTCAGACAACTAATGCTACTTTAACGTACACCAAGATTTAATAAGAGTATTTTTATTCAGACTGCAATTAATTGTGTCAACTATCCTTTTGAAATAGTCAAAATGTAAGTTTAAGCATCATGCATTGCCAACTCTTCGTGTCCAATGTAGCCAATTTATAATACTGTTTGTCCAATGTAGCCAATTTATAATACTGTTAACACCTAAGCTTTGAATATGCTGTTATCTCTAGAGTGAAAACAATGCACTATGACACTGTTTAAATTGTCAGTTTGATCATTCATTCTGAAACCAATAGAGTTAAAAGTATTATTAACAGCCATTCATTCATTTTGTTTTTGTCCCAAATGCTATGGCATTAACATGTTTAGGTGTTTATGTACTGATTTGCAATTGAATTCCATTAAAAAGCCAGAGGCATTTTTTTTTTCGTGTAATAAAGTTAGTATTTCAATAAATAGGTATTTTTTATACAAGACCTACTATAATTTATAAATGGCTGAAATAAAGATTCAACATTTAAGATATCTAGGCTTAATCTAAGACAACTAACTTACCCTGTGAAGAAATTAACGCCCAGAGTTCATTTTTAATTCAGTAAAATTTAATCTTTTGTTAATATTTGTTAGAAATAACTTATGTTTTTATTTTTAAGAAAATATTTGAAATTCATCAGAGAATTACAGACAAAAAAAAAACAACAAAGACAATAACATAGCAATTGTTGAACATATAGCTTAAATATATAGCTACATGTTCTGCCCTTCAAGTTTTGAGCCAAGTTTTTGTACTTAAGTTTATGTGACTCTCTGACTCAACTAAAAACTTTGTAGTTCAGACTAAGTATATACCAAACATGTCTACATGTCTAGTCAATACTGTCATACAAAGCTTGTACAATTTCAACTCATAGTAAATAGGTCTAATTCATTTTTTCTTTTGCAAAATAAATTACCATTTATATTTTAATTTGCCATTAAAATATGTTTTTAAAAAAATGTTAAAAAATACTAAAAGTAGAAAATGTTTCACTACAAGTTTGTAACATCACATTCAAATGTTTCATTTATACAATCATTAAAATCACAATGTAATGTTGAGGCCCATGTGTACTATACAAAAATGAACCTAAACATAATGCACCCCAAGTTAAATCTTTACAAAATAATGGAGAAAATAAGCTGACAAAAATCTAGACAACTGCTTTCAACTAAGCTAGCTACAATTATCACAACTTCAACTTAAGTCTGTGTTTACTGAGAGATATGTTCAATTCATTCAATTTTCAAAAATAAGCAGATGATTATCGAAGGATCTTGCCAGCAATTATCTTATTTTAAAAAAAAATTATTTGAAAGATTGGCTCATTGTGACTCACAAAGAAAGAGAAACATACCAACAAAAAAAGAATTCAGTATAAAAAGTATTCTATTTATAAAGTAGCTGAAAAATATCAAGCCTACATTCTGTGAGAGCTTTCATTTACAAATAAAATTGAAAAGATCCTTATCACTCTTCATGCTATTGTAGTGATCAGTGATTTTTCTTTTTCATTATTACATCCATATTGCTGACAAATGATTTCTAGCTACTGAATTACTAACAATTCACCGAGTCTTAAAACTCGAGCACTAGAATGACCTTTATATAATTCAATTATTATGTACTAGCAAAAATACTTGAGTGTTTCCGACAAGCATTTTTTTAGATAAACTTTTATTTTATATATATATATATATGTTTTTAAAAAAAAGGTAAATAAGAAATAATGCTAAGTAACCACACTAAGAAAAACTTTACTAAAACAAAAAAAATAAATACACCAGTACTTTGTTTTAACTTAGAATAAATGTTTCCAGTAAAAGTTTGGCTAAAACAAATAATGACTTTGCTCAACTATTCCTGTTAAAGTGAAGCAGAATTTCTTTGCATTTTTAACCAATTAGTTGTCATTGCTGGTTTTCAAGGTTAAACATAACAGCAACAGAACAAATTGTACAATAGGATTAAAGAATTGAGAAGTAGGAGATCACAACTAGGCCACACTAGTCATAACACTCTTGTGGTTCATTTCAGTCAGTCTATCTTAGTGACCTTAAAACAAAAACAACCTAACACAGCACCAACACATCTGTGGAGTTTTGTCAACACAGACAAGAAAAAAAAGGTGGGATGAAGGTGTAGTTGTACCTCAGAGCCCTTGTCCTGGAAGGCTTGTTCCATTCAGCAAACTCAATCTAGTCTGACAATCTAATTTATCCTCCTCACCCCTCATCAAGATGTTTAAACCTAAAGAAGTGTGTAACGCTGTCTTGTCCTCTGACAGACAGGAATATTCAGAAGTCTCTATCTTAATTGAATCCTCAAGCACATCATTTGAGAAGTCTGTCCTTTCCATACAACTGTCTGTAACATCTTGTTCTTTAGTACTATCAGCTATGGCCTGCTGACCTGTCCTGTTATCATTGAGTAAACATGTGGTGGGATTGGAGCTGGATTCTTTGTTATAAAGATTGTCTAATGATGCCTCTTCATCTTCCTGGGTTTGCATGCCAGAATCTGGAGTCACTTTGCAGGCAAATGAATCCACAGCCAAATCAGCATCTGAATTTTGAGCACTGATAATGTGGTCTGACTGATTTTGACCTGAAGTAACTGAAAGACAAGGTGATGACACAGGTGCACATTTGGTAGTCCCGTGGTCAGGCCACATATCAGTTACAGAGTTGACAACATGGGGACTTGAAGTGTTTAAGTCTTGATTGGAACTATCATTTGTAGGCCAACTGTGTGCAGGCCCTGGACTGGATTCTTTTAAAACCTCACCTACTTCAGAATCAGGAGGCCGTAACGTCCTTAATTGATCATTTTCTTGCTGTAAGCGTGCTATCTGTTCTCTAGCATCTTTTAATTGCTGCTGAAGCAACAAAATCATGCCTTGCATGCCCTCAACATCAACATCCAGTTCTCGCAGAAATTCATCCAGCTCTGAAACAATATTTAAAGCATTTTAAACAAAGCAAAGTTTTAATTTTAAAATGTGCTGCTCAACATTCACTAAAAAAAACAATGACACGATTACTGTCAAGGAAACACAAACACAAAAATACTCAGCTTCTTTAAAAATACCAGTACAACAAGAAATTTTAAAAAAATTAAAATATAATTAAAAAGCTGGTGTGAACCTGAGAAAAAGGCTTATATGGGCCTAACAAAACTAACCTACAAGTTAATGAACTAGCTGCATGTCAAATTTGGGCCTGATATAAACAGACATGAATTAAGAATATGTCTGCAGATATGCATTTTTTAAGGGGAAATTTGACAATGCTGAATCAAGGATAATCAATTTCGAAAGAAAAATTAATATGATTGTTTAAAAAAAATGTTTCAAAAATTCCCACATTACAATGTAATATTTTTAAAATTATTTCCTTTCAATAAAACTGTACAATGCTCCTTTATAAATTATTGTTACATGAAATAATAAAACACAAAATTACAGTAAAAATTGATATTCATTTAAATTTTAAAACTCTTGTGTGCATTTTGAAATTCTAGCTTAACTGTAATTATTTTTCAATAATATAAAATATAATGTTAAAATCATTCCCCTACTAATATTAGTAGTATTATAAGTACACTGTCTCATGAAACATTTATTTCAAATTATAAAACATAGTATTAAATAAACTGACTTTTTCAAAGCACATTTTAATTTGATGCTGAGTAAATATTACTTTTATTAACAGACTAATAATTATAGTCAAGTTGACTAAATAAGAAAAACCTTAATGTCAAATAAGTTTTAACCTAACACACTAATAACAAAATATACACACAAAATTTGACAAACTTGTATGTCTCTAGCCAAAAGGTATAATCTTAAAATGATTTGTATTAAATATACATTATAAATCATCAATGTGTCCATCACAATTAGATTACCTTTTTGGTTCTTTTTCATTTCAGTAACTAGGGCTTTGTGAAGAACTATTTCACCCTCCAGCCTTGCAGTGCGCCCTGAGGAGATCATTTTACCCAGCTCTCCATTCTCAGCCAGTAACATCCTACATTTGGCCATCAGACGCATACCAGTCTGACTGTAAGCAATAAGTTGGGGAAGAAAGAATAAGTTATAAGGTTGAAGTAAGGTATCTAGTTTTATCCAATACTAATTGAATGTATACAATTGGTTATAATATTCTTTAATTTGCTGGTTGAGACACAATTTAAGCTTGAAATAAAAATAGCTTACAGTGCAAAATCTTATTTTTATCAACCTTATACATTCTACTAAAATGTGTAAGTCCAGAAAAACAATAACACAAAGCTCAGAATGGATATCTATTCTGCCAATGATAGTGATCACAACCTAAGCAGATGACACTTGGAGAAGTCCTTTACAGCCATGCCATTGAATCTCCTTTGCTCAGTTTTCACTTTTGTTAAGTAACATTATCAAGTGACTGGAATGTTTGTTTTTGTTTTCATAACTTATCTAACTTACTAACTGTAATTTCTTTAATCAACAACATCTCTACAAATGTATGCACCTAGTGCATGGGGAATAAATAGTAAGGTGAAATTCAAAAACTGCCTAGATCACGAGAAGAAAAGTCTGTTTTTAGGTTCAGACCCAAAAGTTTTGTGTCCTGTATCAATCTAGAACTAAGCATTAGAAAGACTTGAAAACATTTTTGTTTAATAAATAAAGCTTTTTTTTGTGCTTCTGTCAATAAAAATTTTTTGATACATGCTCTAAATTTGCTATTTATTAAGATATTTATTACTTAACACAATTGGATTTTGCAAGCAAGCAAGCACTCTAGATAGGTTACATATATTCAGTGCATCACCAGGCAATGATACATTTATCTACAAGAGAATAGAATTTTTTTGGTTGAGAAAATGTTCTTCTGATTGTTTTAACTATCCACCTCATCAGTCAACTGTGGCCAATGTAAAATGAATGTTTATAGCATCAGGAAACAAAATGAACAAAACTGAGAAATGAAGTCAATGAAGGCTCTACACCATACTTACCAATGGAAATGTTTGGATCATGTATGGGCAAAAGTCTTCAAGCAGTAAATGTGACAATTTAAAATGTTTTAGCTTTTCTTGCGACATTTTTTTTTCGCTTTGAAGACTGTCAAACATGGTGATACAGAGTAAAATAAAGAAACAATGGAGTT